GTAACTTGGTAATGATTATGCCGATGGTCATGATAAAAGTTAACTGTGGTTCCACAACGCTTAAGCCTTCATCTCAGGTCACCCCTTTTAATGGATTTATTGACAGATTCCGAGTTATCTCCAGCATAGTCCCTGAGTGATTATAGCTTGAACTATTTCACTGTCATTTTTCTGCATAAACATTATATTTTTATTAATAAAAATATAATAAGATGCTTTATTAATTTAATTTATATAATGTTAATTACCTGTACTTTAAAGACATTTGAGACAAGGTTTTTCAAGCTAGTCACATTTGCATAAGTTACTTCCAATCCTAAATTAGCCAATGCCTCCATCAATCTCACAAACCCTCCTGGCTTGTGCTCACATACTAGTCACAGAAAATTTATTCCCATCTAACGGAGTTACTTCCAGTTGTGACCGCGTTGAATTTCACAGTTTTTTTTTTTATTACCTAAGAGAGTGTTGGAGAGTTGACCTTTGTAATTAGCTTAGTTACTTGGGTCCTTGTAATCAGGATAGATATTATTTGGTGTTTCTTTCCTTGTAAATCAATCTTGTACAATATATATTTCCCTCCTTGATGAGAAGAATAATATCAGAAAATTAAACCCCAAAATAAGCCCTAATTAGCATGGTATCAGAGCAGAGATCCTAGGATTTTTGCTCTGCCCGTTCCCTCAAGCAAACTCGTCCCTCCCATGGAGAACTTACCACCACTCCACAGTGGAAACAATTTCATCCTAACCGATCCTACCCCCATACTAAACACTACAACCCTAAACACTACTACCTTAACTGACCTTACCATGAATCCTCCTATTTCGAGTTCTTTCGACATGCCTCCGGAATCCTTAGGTAACTATGGTTATGCTTCTAATATGAATAATTGTGATACTCAGTCCGATTGGATTATTGACTCTGGTGTCACAAATCATATGACTTATGACCCCACTGATTTATCTTGTGATACTGTTCCATTTCGACGAAATATTACTAATGCTAATGGTGTCACCTCACCGGTAACTGGTGCTAGCACTGTACGCCTCACGCCTACCCTCTCTGTGCCACATACACTACTTGTACCTTCACTAAAGCATAAATTGATGTCTCCTGGCCAAGCTACTGAGCAATTGAATTGTTGTGTACTATTGTATCCGAAGTTTTGTCTTATTCAGGATATTCTCACGAAGGAGATAATTGGTCGTGGTACTAAGAGGGGAGATCTCTATTTTGTGGACGATGTTAGTACAGGAAGGGTCAAGCTCACCCAAAGAGCCGTTGATCACAAACAGCGTCAGATATGGTTATGGCATCACCGTTTAGGTTATTCGTCTTTCAGTTATTTACAGCATATGTTTCTGAATCTATTTGTTGGTTGTTCGGTTTCAGACTTTAAATGTGACACTTGCGTACTTGCCAAGAATTACCGTGTTTCTTATCCGTTCAATTCTAATAAAAGTGATATTCCTTTTGGTCTTATTCATTTGGATGTTTGGGGACCATTTTCGATTACTACTTCATCTAGTATTAGGTGGTTTGTAACGTTCATAGAAGATTGCACACGGATGACATGGTTGTGATGTGTTGCTGGCATTTAAGACATTCCACACCATGGTTCAGACACAGTTTTCTACTAAAATCCGGATTTTGCATTCTGATAATGGTGGTGAATATGTTAATAATGATTTTACACATTATTTAACTAATCACATAATCCTCCATGAGACTACTTGTCCTCAGACTCTTCAACAGAATGGGGTGGCTGAGCACAAAAATCGCCATCTATTAGAAACAGCTCGATCTCTATTGATTGGGGCAAATGTTCCAGCTCTTCTTGGGATATTGCTCTTCAAACTGCCACTTACCTTATCAACCGCATGCCATCCAAAGTATTGAATTTTCTTACACCTTTGCAAGTTCTTGCTACATTCGTGCCTTTACCATCCGTTTTGATGCTCCCACCGTGAGTGTTTGGATGTGTTGTCTTTGTTTATCTACATAAAAATCAACGGACAAAACTTGACCCATGTGCTCTCCGTTGTGTTTTCATGGGGTATGGATTACATCAGAAAGGGTACCATTGCTACCACCCTCCTTCATGTCAGATGTATACTACCATGGATGTTACTTTTTCTAAGTTTGAGATGTATTACTCTTCGGCTTCTTCCAACCCTCCTCTTCAGGGGAGACACTGCATGACAAACAGGTTTGGACTATGGCTGCTACCACTGATCTTCCGCTGCCACTATTAGCAAAGCTCGTAATGGCCGCACTGCCAACCCATCCAACAGAAGCAGCATCGTTGCCTATAGAACTAGCAGCAAGCACGGCAAGTGCCGTGCTCACCCACGGTAACAGTGCTGCCACTTGCCGATCTTGAGACTTTTATTGATACTATTCCCCCTCGTCTCAAAATATAGTACCACCAAATGACCATACTCCAGAAAATATTTCTAAGGTAAGATCTACTATCCCTATTGATGTATTTGATGTTTCGAATTATCAGTTACCTTTCAGGCACAATTGGGGAAAGCCACCTAATCGATATTCACCGGAAACAACGAAAGGCTCTAAATATCCCATTGCCAACTATGTGTTATCACATAAATTATCAGAACCCGGAAAAGCTTTTGTACAACAAATATCCAATGATAGCACACCAAGTTCATTGAAGGAAGCACTATTTGATGATCGATGGACCAAGGCAATGGAGGAAGAAATGGATGCACTTCAGAAAAATCAAACATGGGATTTAGTTCTGCTACCCCGAGGAAAGAAGAGAGTGGGATGTTGATGGGTGTACACCATCAAGTACAAAGCTAATAGATCGATTGAATGATACAAAGCACGATTGGTGGTCAAGGGATACACTTAGACGTATAGTGTTGATTATACATAAACATTTGCTCCAGTAGCAAAGATTAATACGGTAAAAGTGTTACTTTTGTTGGCGGCTAACTTGGATTAGCCATTACAGCAATTTGATGTGAAAAATGCTTTCTTACATAGTAATCTTAAAGAAGAAGTGTATATGGATATTCCACCTGGTTATGCATTGGTTTCACAACCCGGACTAGTGTGTAAGTTGAATAAGGCATTGTATGGATTAAAACAATTACCTCAGCATGGTAGGTTCCAGACGGCTATGAGGAAGTATGGGTTCAGGCAAAGCAATTCCGATCATACACTTTTCTTGAAATGTCGAATAGGTAAATTGACGACCCTTATTATTTATGTGGATGATATGATTGTTATAGGTGATGATAAAGAGGAAATCTCAAGGCTGAAAGATTACTTAGCAACTAAGTTTAAGATGAAAGATCTTGGTAGATTGAAATATTTCTTAGGTATAGAAGTAGCTCGATCTAAACAGGGTATATTTCTATATCAAAGAAAATATGTTCTTGACATGTTAGCTGAAACCAGAATGCTTGATTGTAAACCGGTTCTATAGTCCAAAATCACCATCTTGCCGTGCACCCTGATCAAGTTCCCACTAACCGAGATCGTTATCAAAGGTTAGTTGGGAGGTTAATTTATTTAACTCATACCATGCCTGATATTGCATATGCAGTAAGTGTTGTTAGTCAATTTATGCATTCCTCGAGTGATACGCATATGGGTGCGGTTGAACGCATTCTACAATACCTAAAATCCATCCCAGGGTAAAGGCATTATGTTTTCCAAGAATAGTCATTGTCGGATAGAAGGTTATACCGATGCAGATTGGGCAATGAATATTACCGATCGACGGTCCACATCGGGTTACTTTACATTTGTGGGGGGAAATTTAGTGACTTGGCTGAGTAAGAAACAGAAAGTGGTTGCTTTATCAAGTGCAGAGGTGGAATACAGGGGTATGGCAAAAGGAGTATGTGAATTATTATGGCTTCGGAGGTTACTCGCAGAACTCGGGTGTCCTTCAATGTCGGCTTCGAATTTATTTTGTGATAATAAAGCAGCAATTGATATCTCACACAACCCAATCCAGCATGATTGCACGAAACATGTGGAAGTTGATAGACACTTCATTAAGGAGAAGTTGGATGGGAATATTATTCAATTCTCATTCGTAAAGTCAAATGATCAATTAGCGGACATCTTAACTAAAGTTGTTGCCAGTCAAGCACTTTACAACTCTCTCGTCAAGTTGGGCATGAACGACATTTATGCACCAACTTAAGGGGGAGTGTTGGAGAGTTGACCTTTGTAATTAGCTTAGTTACCTGTTTGGGTCCTTGTAATCAGGATATAATTAGGATAGATATTATTTGGTGTTTCTTTCCTTGTAAATCAATCTTGTACAATATAAGAATAATATCAGAAAAGTAAACCCCAAAATAAGCCCTAATTAGCAGAGAGCACTCCCAATATACATCCAAATTTAAAAGAACATAAGATTTTAATTAAGTGTGTACCTCCATCCTTTCATTTACTGGTTTGTTTGCAATGAAAGTTTCAGCTTGACTCAAAACTTCCATAAATTCGATCGTGGTTTATAATTATAGCTTCCATACTTGTTTATTTGTGATGGTCATGATTATGACAATTGTAATGACAATAATGATATGGTTAATGGCGGTTATGATTGTGGCTGTGGTGGCAATGGTGGCAACAACGTACAGTGGCAAAGGTGGTGGTGATAAGGTTAGTGGTTGTAGTGGCAGGTGGTGGCAGCCACTTTATTCTCTAAAGAAAACATGTGTGTAGGAAGATAAATAATGTCATTTTTAAAATTTAATAAGAGTATTATAGGAATTAAAAATATCCATTTTCTACTAAATTGTGGGCTCTGTGTGCGTGTCTTGTGAAGTTCTAAATCACAAAATATTTTCGCGTTATTTTCGAGAAGTTCTAACTTATTTTTGCTATATGTTCGAACTCCGCCTCCACCAATAGAAGAAAAATCAACAACATGAAGCATTTAAAATCACCATTATAATTAAGTTCGTACTACATGAAGTGAAAGAAACCGAATACGCACGCCTAATTAATTGATACATGAATTGAGTGGATAATGATCAACTAATTATAAAGATGTTGTAAGTGGTCCCAAGAAGTATGGTAATTGTAGAGGTGGTGCATGTTATTGCCTTATTGATAATGATCTTGATAGAAGGCCATGATCATCACCTTAGAAATGTTGGGAACCAAAGAGCGATTTCGTTAAGTTTCTTCCTTCTCTTCCTCTCCGCCACAAGGTTTTTGGATTGAGGCCTTTTTCCTGTTCTCCTCCTATAATTTGTGCCACCGTCGTCATCAAATTGATCAGTACAATCTGAAGCTGAATGATTTGCAGTTCTTCCACCCTTGTGTTTAATTGAGTCTTGATCATCAACAACTTGCTGCTCCATGTTTTCTGTTCCCTCATTAACTCGAATATTACTATGCAATTTGTGTGCATCACTATCAGCTCGAAGCCTCACCTCACCCAAAGACTCATGTGAACCTTGATCAAAATTATAGACAATATCATTGTTACTATTTTGGAGGAAATTCATTGGGAAAGTGCTGCATAGGTGGATTCGGTCAACTGAGATATCGCTTGGCAAATTCGAAATGTGATCCAATGCCATTGCGGGAAAAACAGGTTGTTGCTGGAACCTATGAATATTGTTCAGATGATCATTTCCTTCATTTTCATCTACTAGAAATGCGTTTGTCTTATGTCACTGCTCATGTTGTTTATATCAACAGTGAAGCTTGTTTTTGTGCTTGCATTGAGCAGGATGTCTTGCTCATGTGAAATGTTGCATTGGACAGTGATAAAATCAATCACTTGTAGGTCCTCAGGGACCTGTGAAAGTGAAAAAAAAAAAAAAAAAAAAAGGCGTATTAATGAACACTTATAAATTGTAATGTGTGAATTTGTTAGTTGCTGGCAAAAACTATTGTGACACTTACATACCCCATCTCTCACAAAACTTATGTAGGACACAATGTTTCATGTGATTGGTTCATATCATGTACATGAGAAATTCTAGCATACAAACGTTTGCATACAACACCCTTGTATGTGGATCTAACTCAGGCTCACATTTTGTGTGAGAGGTGACACATATGGACACGCATATGCAAGAATTTCTCCACATAAAAGTCTAAAATAACAAATTAAAAGGAAGGTTTAGAAGTGAAGCATCATACATATCATACATCTTTAGAGGCAAACAGCTCAATCAACCCTCCACTACTTGGAACCAAAACCCTAGTCTCATCTCTTTCCTGCAAAATATAAGTGATGAGGATGATAGAGTTACATAGGCAACTATTATTGGCACTCCAAAAATTTAATTGTGAACTTCTCATTAGACTATTTTTCTTACTAACTATAGAAATTTTGGAGTGCACTATTAAATTTTTGGAATGTCAATAACAATTCTCCACATATATGCCAGATAAGGAGGAGATTTTTTTTTCTTATAAATATCTAAAAGAATTGGACGACGACTATATCATAGCCTCTTCTAGGCCCCGAAAGGGTGGATAACTATAACCTACCACTTGTTGTTCCTCTTTTTTAAAAAGAAAAAAAAATCTATATTAGTAGAGTTTAACCAAATGAGCTGTTTGAAATTAATGCCTGTGCACAAATCCTTGCAAACACAACTTAGTACTAATTATAATTGATTAAATGATTAGAAAATTACAAAATTAAGGCTAATTAATATTTATAGTTACCCAGAGTCTAAGAGCATCTCCAATAGAAATCCTTATTTAGGGACTCCTGCCATCACTTTTGAGTACTCATTTAAGGACTTAAAGGAAATCTTTGTGTCTCTAAAGGAATATTGCTTCAATGGGAGAGTCCTTATAGCAAAATCCTAAATTTGATGTTTTTACAATTTTATGTGATAATTTGATTAGGTGCACATTTTTTGTTTGTGTTAATATTACGTTCTCGTAAAAAATTTTGTGAACATTTTAACCAAAAAAAAATTCAAATTCTAACACTAATTTTTTCCTTCATAAAAACATAACTAGAATAAGTGAATTGAGTACGAGTGAACTGAGTATAGGAGATGAAGTTGTGGTAAGTTTTGGTTAGATAATTTGGTATTTATAGGAATGATGAGAGAACAAAATGAAGGAGTAATCCAAATTGAAAATATTATTTTTTATTTTCCTTTTTAAAAAGGGGGACAACTGGTGGCAAGCCACAGTTATCCATCCCTTTCAAGGGCCGGGAAGACTCACAGAGGCATTTCAGCCTCCCCCTAGCCACAAGTATGGCTTCCACACCGATAGTGGGTTTCAAACCCAAGACCTCCAGTTTTTAATTTGAAGGAAGCCTCGCACTCCATCATTTACTACTAGGTCATCAACTTGTGGTTAAAATATTAATATTTCAACGGATGCATTATGAAAAGAGAAAACAAAAGAATTTGAAAACCAACACGAGAGAGTAATCTAAATTAAAACGGTTAATTAATTAGAGGCATTGATTTTTCAATGGTAAAAAAAAAATTGAAAAGCAAGAATCAATATGGACTCTCCATTTTAAACGGTTGAAAAGAAAGAAAAAAAAAGACAAGGTCATGTGACTAAGACCCACACCTGCTTTTCCACTTAAATTGTCCTATTGGGTCTACTATTTCAGTCCCTATAGTGTTCTTATACTGTGGGTACATACACCAAGTATCTGGCGAGTTCCTATACTTTAGGGACTCACTTTTCCGATTCATTGGAAATTCATTATATCTCTATATTTGTTTTATACTCATTTTATACGGTAGCTGTCCTTATATAGGAATTCCACTAGAAATGCTCTAAGGGCAGGGAAGAAGGAAGCTGGGCAAGAAGATCACAAGAATTGGTTCTTAAGTGCTGCATTATATCCCTGCATGGAACAACATAAACTGGAAAAACAAGCTCTTGTCCTTCATTTGTCTGAGTGTTTCCATTAGTCCCAGAACAACAGCAATCCATCCACTCAATGAACCTAAATTAAAATATAAAAAAATCTGTAAATTTGTCACACAAAGAAGAGATAGAGAGATTAATATGAACTTAATTACAATTAGCAACAGATAATTAAAGGGGTTTTTAACATAAGTCCTCAAAAAAGATTGAAATTAAAAAAAAAAAAAAATTGGTGTTAGAATACATATTGATTTTGATTCTCTGAAGTGTACTTTAATTAAAATTAAAATTCTATTTTTTTTTTAATATCTACACATTAAAATTTTGATTTTATTAATATGCACATTTTAGTTCTTTTAATTATAAAGAAATCTAAATGAGAAAACATAAAAAGAAATCTAAATGAGAAAACATAAAAAGAAATTAATGACATAGAAATATGTAAATACATAAGTGTACAAAAATGACTGTATCGAAATATATTAAATTGACTTCTTTATACCGAAATGTTTGTACTTTAATATATTATAATGAGCATAAATGCCTGTACGGAAATGTATGTATCAAATGTTAGTACCGAAATGTATTACATTAAATTAATGTACCTAAATGTCAATACTAAAATGCATGTACCAAAACGTATTCTGATTACAAAATAACAAAAATTAAAAGTGACTGAGATGTGAGGGAAAAACTTTTGTTTAAAAGAAGCCCATTCATGAACAAGAAAATTACATCGCGATTGAGATTGTATCTCGATGAAACAATACATCAATGAAAAGTTAGTTACATAATTTTAGTAATATTTTTTTTACAGATAAACAAAACAGGCCAAAACCCATCTTTTTTGAAAAATGAAAGCGTTAAGATTAAACAAACCTATTAAGTTAGGTAATTAGGGTGGTCGTATCAATCATATAAAAAAATTTCATATAAAAATTGTAATGTACTCCAAAATATTTTCTAAATTTTTTAATTAATATATATATATATTATATATCTTGATCGATAAAAAAAATTAATGTACCTCGATGTTAGTATCGACAGATAATATACCGAAAGATATTGAACGAATTAATGTAACTATAAATGAAGAACACAAATTGTATCGGAATATATTTTATAAAAGAAAGGGAATTGTTATTAGCACTCCAAAAATCTCATTATACACTCTAAACTTTCTATATTACAAAAGAAAAATACACTTATGAGGAGTGTAGAGTATAGAATGAGATTTTTGGAGTGCCAATAACACTTCCCAAAAGAAATTAGTTTACATAAATGTCTGCAACAAAATTTATTTTAATGAATGAAATGAAAATTAAGAGTAAATGTAATTAATACATTACTAGTACGAAGAAAAAGGGAAATAAAACACCAAATATAATTAATAAATTAGGTGATTAAATGTAGTGGCCGAGCCAGTATGGGGTCATTGGTTGTCATTGACCCCAACAACTTAAAAAATTTCGAATCCAGATTTTCTTATGAGGATTATAGGGATTCGTGAATCGTATCTGTTCATTGTAAATCATGCGGTCTGAAATTATTTTAAATTTCTTTGTTTAAAATTGAACACAAACAGTATCTGACGAAAACTGACCGTACGATGTACGATGAATGGACATGATCCACGGATCTTGGAAAATTTTCATGTATATTTGTTTGTGTATTGTATTTGACCCCTATAAACAACATTACAACCTCATCCTTCTACTTCTTCTATTTTCTCCTATCATATTTGTCTTTATTTTTCTCTCTTCTTGTGTGTGACTCTATTGTGTGCATCATGTGTTCGATGAAATACTTTAGTTGAAAAGCCTTGGCTTTCAACATTACTTCACAATATCCTATATTCACTCTTGACAAGCCTCTACAAATAATAGTAGTTGTCGGCATATGTTGGCATAAACTTTCCACATATGTTGACTAGAATTACCAAGTGCCTACTAGATGCTCGACGAAATGGCCCAATGAAGCTTTTTTGTTCATACTATGACCTCATTATTTGAAAATCCTGGCTATGCTACTGATTAAATGTACCAAGGGATGAAAATTAGATTTTTTATTTTACGCAAAAAAAAAAGTCATATTTTCTAAAGAAAAAAATGAAGTTTTCTAGGTACTTTGAGTAATTCCTCTCTTAATTAGCCTTCGGTCTTCACTCAGTTTTCCATAGAACACAATAATCCCAGCCTTTCAAACCCACAAGGGGTCTAAGCCTATCAATCAGATTTTGCATAATGATTTTCATGCCACCAGCAAAATAATATGATTTTGTGAAAAGAAAATAATCGAAACATGGAATTAATTCCAAATTGTTCCAATAGAGAATTAATTTTGCAGAATCAACTAAAATTTGTCATAAATTGGGAATTCTTCAGAATGCCCCAAGTTTTTTTTTATTTTTTATTTTTTCCCTTACAACAAGTTTAGTCCACTAACAAGGACCCAACAAACAGAATAACAATGCAAACCCTACTTACCTTTCAGATGACGATTAGTATTTCTTGCTTCCAAGACCCTTGCGGCTCTGTTTTCAATGGGAAACAGAAAGAAACTAAACCCAGCAAGCTGACCAGAAACAAAGTTGTCAATATGAAGGAGAGAAATTTGTTTTTATTGCCTTGTTCGCAATCAAGAAAATAAGACATTTTAATTCAACATTGCATCGACCACATTTCTTAATCGCATAAACTAAACTATACTATGATACTTGTGGACTTATTTTAGTAACCATCGGTACTAAGACATATACGCATCAATTGCCTCATAGTATGGTAAATCATTAGTATCTTTGAAAATTCTAATGTGCCTAATATCATAGTCCCTTGAGAATATGCATAAATGAATTTATTGAAAATTCAAGCATCTTTTGGAAAAGGGTAAATTACATTTTACCCTCTTAGATTTGGGATTGATTGCAACTAGACCTGGCAATT